GGCGTGGGGAGCCGAGTGCCAGGGGCCCCACGAGCGGGCGCGCCACCTGCGGACAGAAGCTCATGGCCACGGCCTGCTGCAGCGTGGCGATGGCTGAGGTGACCTGCGGTGGTGGTGGTGGTGGGAAGAGCCCCACGCGCTGACCCAGCTCTGCCTGCTGCACCATCTCACGGTCATACTTGACAATCTCCTGGATGATGGCGTTCTCCTGGTTGTTGAACACGCCCGAGCTGAGGTCGTGCTGAACTTTGTGCAGCAAGATGGAGTTCTTCTTGCCTGTGAGCAAAGCGGGGTTAGCACTAGCCTGGGCACCTGCCTCTTCAGCACCCACTGTGTACAGCTGTGAGGGTCCTGTGTCAATCCCGGGTACTGAGCGCCTATCCCGTGGCCAGTGCATACAGCAGGTATATGAGTGTATCCAGCACGATCTGTATAGAGTCCCTGTCATGTGCAGGTGTGTATGAGCACTTGGTGTGTGCCCTCTGACCCACCCTGGCTCACTTGATTCTGGCCACTGTCTTGTCATCAGCCCTACATGCCTGACACAGGCCACCAGCCTCCTTGTAGATGTTGCCAACAAACCTAGAATATTCCACACTCTTAATGTGCCTGGTTTATTGAGAAGGAGCTGTTTCTACCAGGCCCTCTGTCTCTGGCCCTTTTCGCCTCTGTCCTTCAGGCCTCCATTTTACCTCAGGGCCTTTGCCTGCTATGTTCCATGCATTAAGACAACTTCCCCTGTGTCACCTGGGCACTCCTCAGCACCCTGTCCTTTCGGTATGCCATGCCTCTACCTCCCTGGATCTCTCTCAGGCAGTCTGGAAGCTCACCGATGCGGTCAAGGCGGTCAATGGCCACAGTCTCGAAGGCACGCCGCATCATGGGATACTCCTCCAGCACCTCGTTGAAATTATCTACACTCAGTGAGTAGAGGCGGCAGTAGGTATCAGCCCGCACACTGGCTGTGCGCCGGCCCCTTGTGAGCAAGCAGATCTCTGCAAAGCCAAGAGAGGAGCCTCAGCGGCGGCACTGTACACAGCTGCCCACACAGCACATGCGCAAAGCCCACCTGCTGCTGGCTCAAACCCTCCCGGGACCTCTCTGGGCTGGAGCTGTCCACATCTGATCCCATCCCGACCTCAGCCTTGCCGTGGGCTGCTCACCCCCGAAATAGGAGCCATCTGACAGCTTCATCTCCTTGTTCCCCTTGGTGAGCACGCTCACCACCCCGTGCTGGATGAAATACATTTTCTTGCCGATGGTCCCCTCTCGGATGATGTAATCGCCGGGCTGGAAGACCTCGAACTTGAGCTTTGTCAGCATGGCTGTGACAAAGTTGGGGTCTGCGTTGGCAAACAGTGGCATGGAAGCCACCAGCTTCCGGCAGTTGAAGTTGACAATCTCCTGTGGGTGGTAGGGAGGGTGGCTGAGTGACTGACTGACTTGGTAACTTGGCGGCCCCTCTAGCTCCTATCCAACTTCCTAGGCGGATGCTGAAGGCAGGGTCAGGAGTCAGGCTCAAGATACACAGGAAAGTCCCAAGTACCCACACCACCCCGGAATGGGTGACTCTGGGCTGGGAAAGTAAAATGTGATCTCTCTGTAGAGAACAGGACCACAAATACCCAGAAGGATCAAAGGAGGGGTGGAGCTCAGTGGGTGGAGCTCTCTCTTGGCATTGAGTCCCTGGGATCCAACCCCAGCAAGGCATAAACATGTAGGCCTGTCATCACAGCACACTGGAGGTAGAGGCAGGAGGATCAGGAGTTCAAGACCAGCCTCACCTACATAGTGAGTTCTATGACAACCTGAGCTACATGAGATCCTGTCTCATAAAAACAAACAGTTGGGGCACAGAGGCAGGGGCATCTCTGTGAGTTGGAAGGCAGCCTGGTCTACAGAGTGAGTTCCAGGACAGGCAGGACTACACAGAGAAACCTTGTCTCAGGGGGAAAAACAAAACAAACAAAAAACTTCTGAAGGAAAAGGAGGCCACCCCACATGCATCCTTGGGCCTCTAGTTACATATGAAATATAATCCCAGCCAGGACACTTCAGGCTTGTGCTTTATACACAGCTGGATCTAGTCAAGGTCATTCATTGCCAAGAACCCAGTAAGAAACCCATGGAGAAAGGAGACCAGCCTCCACCACTCACTACAGGGAGCTGAGGTCCTGCCAGGGAGGTTGTCAGAGGGACACATGAAAAACTAAGCCAGACAAGGTGTCCCAGGCTGACATCGACAGTACTCAGGAGGCTGAGGCAGGAGGATTGTCACGAATTTGCAGTCACCCTGTGCTGTATAGTGAAACCTTGTCTCAAAAAAAGAAAAGAGGGGGCTGGAAAGATGGCTCAGTGGTTGGGATTATTGGCTGCTCTTCCAGAGGGCCTGAGTTCAATTCCCAGCAACCACATGGTGGCTCTCAACCATCTATAATGAGATCTGGTGCCCTCTTCTGGCCTGCAGTCAGAACTGTGTCTACAAAAATACATAAATCTTTAACCGGGCGTTGGCGGCGCATGCCTTTAACCCCAGCACTCAGGAGGCAGAGGCAGGCGGATCTCTGTGAGTTCGAGGCCAGCCTGGTCTCCAGAGTGAGTGCCAGGATAGGCTCCAAAACTCTGGAAACTCTGTCTTGAAAAACCAAAAAAACAAAAAAACATAAATCCTTAAAAGAAAAAACAGATTGTAGTTCATCTTCAAGACATGTGTAAAAAGCTGAGGGATGGGGGCTGGAGAGATGGCTCAGCGGTTAAGAGCACTGACTGTTCTTCCAGAGGTCCTGAGTTCAATTCCCAGCAACCACATGGTGGCTCACAACCACCCTGAATGAGATCTGGTGCCCTCTGCTGGCATGCAAGCACAAGACTATACATAATAAATAAAGAAAATCTTTAAAAACAAAACAAAACAACAACAAAAAAAAACTGAGGGTATTGGTGTCTCAGGCCCAGGGAGACAGAGACAGGATCCCTAGGGCCAGCCTGCCTGGCTGAATTGCTGAGCTCCAGGCCATTGAGAGATTCTGCCTCAAAAGGTGGTGGCTTGTCTTCCGGCCTCACATACATGCACACCCGAGCACACATGGACACATGTGTATGCATTTAAAAGGGAGATAGGGCTCAAGAGATTCCTTAGTGGTTAGGAGTGTTTGATGATCGGGGCTGCAGAGATGGTTCAGTGGTTAAGAGCACTGGCTGCGCCCGGCGTTGGTGGTGGCCACGCCTTTAATCCCAGCACTCGGGAGGCAGAGGCAGAGGCAGGCGAATCTCTGTGAGTTCGAGGCCAGCCTGGTCTCCAGAACGAGTGCCAGGATAGGCTCCAAAGCCACAGAGAAACCCTGTCTTGAAAAACAAAACAAACAAACAAAAAAAGAGCACTGGCTGCTTTTCCAGAGGACCTGAGTTCAATTCACACAGACGGAGAGAGAGAGAGAGAGAGAGAAGAAAATGTTGCTCAATCCTGAGAGCCCAAAGTTTGATCCCAACACCCACATCTGGTACTTCAAAAACACTTATAACTCCAGCTCTAATGGATCAGACACCCTCTTCTGGTCTCCATGGGCACCTGCACATACTTGTGGGCCCGTACACACATGCACACATGTAAAATAAAACCTTAAAAAGTGAGGGACTGGAGAGATTGCTCAGTGGTTAGAACACTGGCTGTTCTTCCGGGGTACATGGGTTTGATTCCCAGTATCTACATGGTAGCTCACAACCACCTGTAACTCCAGTTCCAGAGGATCCACAGACACCACATGCAAGCAAAGCACCCACACACATGAAATAAGTAACGACCCCAGATGACAGGAGAGGCAGGAAGGACTCTCCCCAGGGTCTTGGAGGGAGTATGGCTGTACAGATGTATGGGAGACCGTAGCTTGGTGTCTGAAACTGGCAGATGGGCAGGTGTTGGCCAGGGCAGTCCTGGTTGACTGGCTCAGGGGCACCCACAGCTGGTAAGACCTGATCCCATGGGTCCCACACATTCCCTGTCAGTGTCCATGGGACCCTGGGTACAGGTGGGTGTGTGGGATGCTGGATGTAGCTGAGAAATCCATCTCACAGCAACCACATGGTGGCTCTCAACCATCTATAATGAGATCTGGTGCCCTCTTCTGGCCTGCAGTCAGAACTCTGTCTACAAAAATACATAAATCTTTAGCCGGGCGTTGGCGGCGCATGCCTTTAATCCCAGCACTCAGGAGGCAGAGGCAGGTGGACCTCTGTGAGTTCGAGGCCAGCCTGGTCTCCAGAGCGAGTGCCAGGATAGGCTCCAAAAGCTACACAGAGAAACTCTGTCTTGAAAAACCAAAAAAAAAAAAAAAACAACAAAAAAACCATAAATCCATCTCACCTCACGAAGGGGCCCGTTGAGCTCCCCAAGGATGCTGTCCTCGTCGAACATCTTCCCCTGGTACCGGTGTTCATAGTAATCATGGATTTTTTGGCGGAAGTCAGCTGGCAGCTTGTGGAAGGACATGTATTGTTCCACTTGCTTGTACTGAGGGGAGGGAGCAGGATCAGTATTTGTCCCAGGGACAGGCCCAGCCCAGTGCCACCCAGCTCAGGGACACACCACCCTATCCAGCCCAGCAACACCAAAGACAAGTTTTTTTTTTTTTTTTTTTTTTGGTTTTTCGAGACAGGGTTTCTCTGTGTAGCTTTGAAACCTATCCTGGAACTAGCTCTAGAGACCAGACTGGCCTCAAACTCAGAGATCCACCTGCCTCTGCCTCCCGAGTGCTGGGATTAAAGGCCTGTGCCCCCAACGCCCGGCAACAAGTGATGTGTTTTGAGTCAGGGCTTCATGTAGCCCAGGATGGCCTCAAACTTGCTAGCCAGCCAAGGATAACCTTGAACTCCTGATTGTCCTGTCTCTACCTCTCAAGTGTTGGGATGAGACAGGTTTATGATATTGGGGGGGAACTTCATAGATGCTAGGCCAGAACTGCAGGCAGAGTGCCCATGTCCAGGCCCTCATGTTTTGTTTTATTGTATGCAGTAGGATCTCACTCTGGCCTAGAATTTGAACTCAGACTTCCAAGTGGTGAGATAACATCCTGAGACACTATGCCCAGTTAGCAAATATATTTGTGCTTAAACCTGAGTCTAGACCAGTATTTAACTTTTAACCCCATCACTAGGCAGGAGGGTCAGGAGTTCAAGGTCATCCTCTGTTGTAGAGTGAGTTTGAGGCCAGCCTGGGCTATGTGATACCATGTCTCTCAAAATGTCTATTGTGGGGGCTGGAGAGATGGCTCAGAGGTTAAGAGCACTGACTATTTTTCCAGAGGTCCTGAGTTCAATTCCCAGAAACCACATGGTGGCTCACAACCATCTGTAATGAGATCTGGTGCCCTCTTCTGGTGTGCAGGGATATATGCAGGCAGAACACTGTATACATAATAAATAAATCTTTTTAAAGTATGTCTATTGTGTAGGCACCTTAGAGTGTCCTGCTCATATTTCTGGGACTTGGTTATATACAGTGTCAACATCAGTATGCATGTTGACTTCCATCAGAAGCCCTGCCCCTGGGACCTGGTGAACAACACAGAGTCAGCCCCTCCCTAGCAGGGCTGGGGTGTGGGTGCCAGCCTGTCCCCAGCCCCATTTCTAAGCCACAGCTGCCCTTATCTCAGCAGACCCCGTGACGGCGGGTGGGTGGCAGCACCAGCTCATGTTTGGGTGCTAGATGGAGGCTTCCGGACTTGGGCACCTGGCACAGAGCCTGGGTGACCCGGCTGGCACTGTGGGGGCGGGGAACTAAGACCCATTGCAGAGAGTGAGGGTGCAGGTGGCTGAAGGCAAGGTTCCTATCCTTTCAGCTGCCATATGCTCCAAAGCAGCTGCCCCTAGCACCAGCCCGGAGGACAAACTCTTTGTGTAGAGGACAGACAGAAATGGCTGGCAATTCTACTGTCTCTAAACGTTCACCCTGCTGCCCAGCCACCCATATGTCACTGACACCCCAGAATGCTCAGAACCAGGCCCCAGGGACTGGTCTAGTTGGTTCTGAACTCCCATGGGCTCCTACCTTCACATCATCTACCCTAACCTGGGGTCTTTCTTTGACTCTGCCCTGAGCACTTATAGGAACTCTTAGAACTAGGTATTGCTCCCCTAGGCAAGCCTCCCCCTCATATCCAAGGCAGGGGCCACCTCCTGACGCAGACCCAGGCATGGCCTCCCCACTCTGACCTTCTCCTGGTATTGGCGCCGTGATGAGTCCAGTGACTGGATAAGTGCCGTGGCATGCCCAATGAACATGGCATAGCAGGTGGCCCCTACGATCATGCTGAGCATGGTCAGCCAAATGTCTGTCATGCTCTCAGGTGCCTGCCGCCCGTAGCCGATGCACAGCATGTGACTCATGGCCTTGAAGAGCGCAAAGGAGTAGAGCTCGCTCCAGGAGTGGTTCTGCAAAGTCAGCGGAGACGGTTGGGGGAGGCCCACGAACCCACTTACCCACCCTCCTGTGGGCACTTGAGGCGGTGCTCTCCCCATGGTTGGAGATAACCAGGGCAGTTCCAGGCAAAGGACATAGGCAGTCACATGTCTCGGGTTTCAGCGAGGCACCAGCGGGGACAGACCTGACGACACCACCTCCTACTTCACTTCTGGAGAAACTAAGCCACAAAAGGGCTGCACTCTGGCCAAAGCAGCTTCAAGGTCAAGACTGCCAATTTCAGAGGTCTGGAACACTGGAATAACACCCGAGGGGCAAGCTCCTGGATGTCCCCAGTTGACCCGGTCAGAAAAGGGGGGCCCTGGGCCCGTCCAGGAAATGGAACTGCTTGTGCAGGCAGCAGCTGGACAATGGGCTCCTCAGTAGGGGCAGCTGTGCCAGGCTCTTGGGAGGGGCGCTTGTGGGTTCTCTCCACCCGGCTTCTGACTCCATTGATGCCCGCCTGCTGTGTCCTGACCAAGGCACATCAAGCTCCAGTGTGTCCCTGTCCTGGGGTGCAAACCTCACTGTAGACTACCCTCACACTTTCACAGTTCCGGGGATGAAACCTAAGGCCACAGGGATGCTATGCTGGTCCTCATCACTGAGCCATGTCCTTTACTCTCACTGGGGGATTCTAGGCAGGGGCTCCACTCCTGACCACTCCCCAAGTCACTCACTGGGGGCATTAAGGAGGGGCTCTACTGCTGAGCCACTCCCAGTCCTCTTTTTACTTTCTGGGATTTTTTTTTAAATTAAATTATTGGTTCTTCCTTTTTCTTTTTGGTTTTTCAATACAGGGTTTCTCTGTGGCTTTGGAGGCTGTCCCGGAACTCGCTCTTGTAGACCAGGCTGGTCTGGAACTCACATAGATGCGCCTGCCTCTGCCTCCCGAGTGCTGGGATTAAAGCAGTGCGCCACCACTGCCCTGCAACATTTTATTTTATTAAGCTCAGTTGGGCAATAGTACAATCATGAAAAGAATTGTTTTCGTATCCCACTATTGCTTTTATTTCCTGTTTTTAATTTAAAGTAGAAACAAGCTTGTTTTACATGTCAATCCCAGTTCCCTCTCCCTCCCCTGACCCCCACCAACTCTCTATCCTATCCCCTTTCTGCTCCCCAGGGAGGGTGAGGCCTTCCACGGGGATCCTCATTTGGAGCGGGGCCTAGGCCCTCCCCTGACTTTCTGTTGTGAGACATTCTTGCTCCTTTGCCCTTGCTAGCCTTGAACTTGCTATCATCCTACATCTGCCTCTCTCAGAAGCTGGCAGACTCCTACCTGGCCTGTACAGCATTTTTTTTTAACTTTCTGTGATGCAGACATGGGGACAACAGGTACTTGTAGTTGTTACTTCTTAGGGCTGATGGTAACAACTTTCCCATCTGAAGGTTGTTTTATTTTAAATACATTTGCATAAAGACAAAAAGGGAAGCGGATGTGTTGGAACACATTTGCCATCCAGCACTCTGGAATGGAGGCAGGATGGTTACAAGTTCAAGGTGATCCTCAGCTACCTAATGAGTTTGAGGCTAGCCTGGGCTACATGAAATGCTGACTACAAAATGTAAGAGGCACTGGAGAGATGGCTCAGCAATTAAGAGCACTGGCTGCTCTTCCAGAAGTCCTAAATCCAATTCTCAGAACTGTAATTCCACTTGTAATGCCAGCTCCAGGGGATCTGATGCCCTCTTCTGGCCGCTGAGGGCACTGCACTCATGGGCATATACCCACACACATACACATAATTTTAAAAACAACAATAAATAACCCTAATATGAATTCTTTTAAACAAACAAGTAAAGGGAGGCTGGAGAGAAGGCTTAGCTGGTTAGGAGCACTTGCTGCTCTTGAAGTGGGCCCTGTTCAGTTCTCAGCACCCACACTTATAACTCCAGCTCCAGGGGATCTGACGCCCTCTTCTGGCCTCTGCTGGTACACACACAGATGCACGCAAACACGTGCATAAAAGGAAATAAGTTTGAAGCTGGCCTCAAACTCACAGAGATCCTCCAGTCTCTGCCTCTCGAGTGCTGGGAGTAAAGGTGAGTGTCACCACTATCAGCTAAGTAAAACATTTTTTAAAGTAAGGAGAGAGCTGAATAGTGTCTGTGTGACAGTGAAAAATGGCTACTGAGCTGCCTCTGGAGGCTCCTGGGGACGCTGGTAGGACATCAGATAGACACCAGAGCAGGGGGAATAAGGATCGCAGGGGGCACTGTCAGAATTTGGGCACAAAGGCAACTGTGCACAAGACCCTCTCCCTCCAGGGGTTGCCAGGGGGCCCTGGTGGGCATCAGCTTTCACTGCAGGTGGCAACTGCCCTGCCCATAGAGGACCCTAGATGGTGCTGGTGGGCACAGGGCATAAGGGCAAGTGGGAGCTGTGCTGTCCCTGGAGGCCTCTGGGGGTGCTACGCGCTCCTCTGGCGGTGCTACAGGCTCCTCTGGGGGGTGCTACGCGCTCCTCTGGAGGTGCTACGGGCTCCTCTGGGGGCGCTACGGACTCCTCTGGGGGTGCTACGGGCTCCTCTGGGGGTGCTACGGCTCCTCTGGGGGTGCTAGGGCTCCTCTGGGGAGCACTCACCACCATGTTGTTGATGGACACCCAGCAGTCGCTGGGGAAGTCCTGCAGCATGGGCACCAGGAACTGCAGGCAGCCGTCCCAGTGGCAGAGCAGGAGCATCATGCTGATCAGGTTACAGATTCGCATCACTGCACTCGCCAGGTCGTAGGTCATGTGGAAAATCTGACAGGCAGCATGAGCATGAGAATCCCAAGCTCTTCCCCGCTTCTGTCTGACCCCCCCCACCCTGCTTGCTCACTCCCTGTACCCTTTGTCCAAGGTTAGTGAAATTCTCTGTACCCTTCCCCCAACCACTTCTGCTCTGAATTCCACCTGGCCTACCTCACCCACCATCCCTCCAGAATGCCTTGACTCATCCTGCTCAAGTTCTGTCCCCACCTGCGAGTCCTCTAGGTTCCTCTCAGTGGCCACGGGGGAGGGAATGGGTCAGAGTCAGGGATCTTGAATTTGGGAGTCAAGAAACTGGAGATGTCTGAGCCTCTTTCTCCCACATCTAACAGAGCACAGGAAGGGGCTGTCTGCAGGACTCCCCAAAGCTAGAGTCCTGAACGTCTTGGCTCTATGACTCCATGAGGGAGGAGGGGTTCCTTGGGAGTCCCCAAGACTGTCTGTCCTCCAGCCCTGCTCCTGAGCTTATAACCACAATTTGAGATGCCTCCTGTACCCCATTCTCAATCTAACAATTGCACCCCCATTCCTACGCCCCTCTACAAACCTTGTTCATCTTCTTGCGATCCAACCCTGGCCTTCCATTGCATGCAAACCTCACTTCCCTTAAGGCTACAATAGTAGGGGTCCTGCCCAATGCCCTTGGCAGCTCCGCCCTACAGCCTTGGTCCGGCCATTGAAAGGACTCAAAAGCCCCACCTACAACTTTGACTCTGCCCTAAGATGCCCTACAGAGAGGCTTTAACCCTGGTTCCTCTCAAGGTCCCAGCTTTGGCCACACCCACTCCCGGACTTGGCGTCCATGTGGGCCCCACATCCACAGCCCTGGCCCCACCCAAGCGTGAGGCTCTCTCCCTGCAGCTCGATTGAGCTCCATCCCAAAGCCTCAACCCTGCAGCCCTGGTTTGTTTCTTGTGACCCCCCCACCTCTGCCAAGGCCCCGCACCCACAGTATTAGTGTCCATGTCTCTCATGGGCACCCCAAGTCAAAACTCTGTCCCTAAAGCCATGGCCACACCCACACCAAGGTCCCACCCTCAGATGATTGGCTCGACCCACAGAATAGACTTTGGTCCCACCTCCACCCGAGATCGCACACCTAAGGCCCCATCTCCAACCCCTAGATTTAGTCTCCAACAACCTTCGTGACCCTGCTGCATCCTTTGCCTGGTCCATAGCTGAAGCCCCACCCACACTCCAAGCCCAGCATTTCTGGTGGCCCTGACTTCAGTTATAGCCCCAGTCCTGCCCAAGACCATGCCGCTGGGGTTCTGCCCACGCTTGGTCTTCTCCCTGCCCCTCACCTCCTCCCACTGGTGGATGTAGCGGATGAGCCGCGATAGCCGCAGGAGCCGCAGCAGGCTGAGGATCTTGGTGAAGCGCACGATGCGCAGTGCGCGCGCCGTCTTGTAGACCTCGGAGTCGATGCCTTTCTCCACGATGAGGAAGATGTAGTCCACCGGGATGGACGACACGAAGTCTACCACGAACCACGTGCGCAGGTACTTTTTCTTTATCTTCTCGGGGTCCAGGATGATCTCCGTGTTGTCCTCAATCACAATGCCCGTACGGAAGTTCAGCACCAAGTCCATGAGGAAGAAAGTGTCCGAGACCACGTTGAAGACGATCCACGGCGCGGTGGTCTCGTCCTTGAAGAAAGTGATGCCCACTGGGATGATGATCAGATTCCCCACCATGAACAGCAACATGGTGAAGTCCCAGTAGAACCTGGGGACAGGCAGGATGCTCACACCTCCCGGCCTTGGCAGGCATGCCTTCTTCCCCAGCCCAGGGTGCTTTCCGGGACCCCAGTCCAAAGCGGGCTCTCTCTCTTACTAATGCTAAGGTAGTCTCTGGCTCAAACCCTAAGATGGCCTCTGGGACCCCACCCCTGAGGTGGTCTCTAGGACCCTAGCCCTGAGATGGGTCTCTAGAACCCCAACCTTAATGTGGTCTCCCAGACCCCAAACCTAAGGTGGGTCTCTGTCTAATGTGGTCTCCAGGACCCCAGATCTTGTTGCGTGGCAAGGACCGTACATCCTCACAGCAGCCCCCTGACCCAGGCAGCCAGGGTCCCTCTCTCTGGCCCACTCTGACCTTGCCTTGAAGGCGCCTCCAGACCGCAGAGAAGGCTCAAAATAGATTAAACACTTCACATGACCAAAGAGGGACAATGTGCTTGGCACAAATCTGGCCTTCAAAAAGGATAGGAGCGTATGGGATCTGGTGGGTGGCACACCGCTGGGTGTGAGTGGCAGGCTGAGAGCCAGGTGGGAGGAGAGGGCAGGGGCTTCCATCAGCCACTCTCTTCTCTGTCAGAAGCTGCAGGGCCCACGTCATGGTGAGGCCACAGCTCTTGTAGGGCACAGCTGGTCACCTCAAGAAACACTTTGGAGAGCTAGACATGGGGGGCACAGTTGTCATCCCAGCACTTGAGAGGAGGAGGCAGGAGGATTAAGGATTCTAGAAATAGGCCAGGTGTGGTGGCGCACACCTATAATCTCAACACTCAGGAGGAGGTGGATCTCTGTGAGTTCCAGGCCAGCCAGGGCTACATAGTGAGATCCTGTCTCAAAACAAGAAACTGGAGAGGGGTGTCCTCACATCTAGACAGTGTCAGCCCCCTTGGACCCACAGGGATTTGGGGCCTCCCATGGGCACAGAGCCCACCGTCTCTAGAGCACATAGGCTGGGCCACTTGTCTAAATCAGCTCAGAGAAGTGATGTGTGTGCATCAGGGTTTGCTATCTAGAGCCGCTGTCTCAGTGCTCGCCTGTGAGCGGGCTCCTTCTGCTGGCCTGTACCTCATGGGCACAGTTAAAAACACCATGCCCAGCGGGTGACCAGCACTCCACTTCTGAGAGCTGAGCTCAAGGAAACAGTCCAAAAAAGAGAGAGAAAAAAATTAAAAAGTGATTTGTACTAGGGCATTCTCAGCAGCTCAGACTGCGAAAGCCAATGGCTGGACAACACCCAGTGTTTCTCAGGACAGCCTTGTGCTGGCACCTGCCCATGCACGAGTGACCTTGGGAAAGCTTCTTTGTTCACTGGAAACCTTAGTCTCTCCTCACCTCAGCCCAAATGGGGTGAAGCCCTTTTGGGGAGGATGTGGGGATTCAGTCCATGTGTGATGTCCCTCACAAGCCCTCTTGGTGGGGACAAGACCTCTGGAGCTGAGGGATGACATCAGTGGTGATGGGGAGGGATCTATCAGACCTCAAAAGGAAAAGCAAATAACATATTTAAAGATGTTTCTTTTTAAATTATGTGTATGTTTGGACACCCGAGGTGGGGGCTGTCCTGCACATGTGAGTGCAGGGCACAAGGCGGCCAGAAGAGGGCGTCTGATTCCCCAGGAGCTAGAGTTACAGGAGGTTGTGAGTCAACCCTCTGAGTGAAAGGAAATACATTCCACTGCTCTTCAAGAGCCTTGTGGGACGTCTCTCAGCCATAAATAACAGCTTTAAATTTGGGCATGGCTCTGGACAGCATTGGAGGCTCAGACCACGATGAGAGATCCTGTTTGTCAACAGTTGCTCTGAAGTGCTGTCCCCGGAAACCATCAGAAAGCCTGATCCCACTTCTCCCTTTGTGGATGGAGGATGCCTTCTTTGGAGGAAGCTCAACTAAAGATCAACAGGGACTAGACATCACTGGGGTGGGGGGTGGGGTGGGGGTGGGATCTAGAAACCACCATTGGTGGGCACAGTATCTGTGGCGGTGGGAAACTGGAGACAACTAAGAGTGGGCCAAGAAACTACCAAGGGGACCGAGAGACCACTTGGGGGGCGCTTTCAGTGGTGACGGGAAGGAGGCTTAGAGTTACCGAAGGGACCCACAGCAGGCACCTCTTTCTAGGCTGCAGTCACACGCCCCTTCCCTTCCTGGGGTGGTCAGGGCCAGGCATACTTCCCATTGAGGCCCAGGGTTTGCCTGGTGGGAAATGGAGCCCAAGACTGAGACTGTCCTCAGTCCCCAGCCACTCTGTCCAGGAACCTCCCTCAGTGACTATGTCTCCAGGTCACTTGGTATGACAGAGACAGAGGCGACAGAACAGATGGTGACTATCCTTGTGACCCCAGCATTCACCCTCCCCAGTCAACCTGGTCCCCACAGATATAGTCAGAAAGGGTCAGATGTCCCACACCAAAGGAAACAGGTCAGGCACATGGCAATTCCCAGGACTCCAGAGGCCCCTCCTCCACCCTCATCTCACCAGCCCCAAGCCATGACATCTAGTATGAGGACACAGGACCCTGGATGGGGGGGTCATCCAGGCACAACTCAAACTTCTCTGTGCATCCTTGAGAGGTGTTCCCACCTTCTCTGAGGCTCTGGGCCTTTTCTACCTGATCCCCAGCAGGGACCTCGGGGACCTCTGGAAACAGGTCAATTCTCTGACAGGTGTATGCCTGTCATCCCAACACTCCAATACTTGGGAAGTCGATGCAGGAGGATCCTTAGCTACACAGTGAGCTTAAGGTCAGCCTGGGCTACATGAGACCATCTCATACAAAACAAAATAAATTCCCTAATAAACAACAATGAGTCCTGACGACTGCCTACATCTGGGAGGACTCTCAGAACCATGCTGTGGTCCCGGCTCAGGGGTCAGAGGATAGATCTGTTGGGAGACAAGAGGAGTCTCTCTTGCTGATGCTCAGCCCACAGCCTCTCCTACCAGTAGGTAGATTCTGGATGGCTGACACCAAATGAACTCTGCTCTCCCTCAGCTGCTCAGTTAGTCTCAGCTCCAAACAGGGAAACTGAGGCCCATGGCTCACAGGGTAACAGAGAAAACCCTGCCATTCACAGCTGGGGTAGATCACAGCCACCACTGGGACAGTTGGGATCCTAAGAGCTGGTCATTGACCCCTAAAAGCTAAGGTCAGACCTCCATGGACCAACCAGGACAGTCACATCTCTCCAGGCACATCTGAGATGTAGCAGGAAGAAGCCATCTGGGATCACAGATCCAACCAAAACCGGAGGGATTAGAGGCCGGAGGTCAAGGATTATGGGCCAGGCTCGGACAGAGGATCAGGGCCCGAGTCCATTGAGTCCCCAGAGCAGGTGTCAGGATTAGGCCTGGAAACCCAGTGGGAAGACAGCTGGAGTCCTGGGTGCTGGCCATTGTATGCTAAGTGACGAGGGACAGTAGACAGCCACACACAGGCTGCATCCCCCAACCCCCAGGTCCTCTGGGGGAATGACTGTGCTAGACACCAGGGTGTGAGAGATGGATCTGGGTGCAGTTTTCGAGAAGGCTGCTTGGAGGAGGTGGCATTCAAGGGCTGGTGATATAGGGAGAGGTGGTGCCCGGGCAGTCAGAATAGCTAATACAAAGGTCCTGAGGGAACCATGGGGCTTCCCAAGTGGAGGCAGAGGGACTTGGAAAAAAAATGGAATCTGCAGAGGACTGGGAGATCCTGGCCTGGGTAAGGAGACTACAATCTGTCTCACTCAACTCAGGAATGATGTCAGGATGGCTAATGGGGTGGGAACTGTCTGATGCTGTACCGGATATATGTTGGAGGCTGATGTCTTAAGGGCAGAGAAGGCCAGCTGAGGAAAGGGATTTCCCCCAACACTGAAGTGACAGCCTTGGGGTACAGAAGAGGGGTTGAGCTAACCTCAACCCCTCCTCAAAGACTTCTTTCACAGCATTGAGAGTTTTGGGGTCCCAACACTCCATCTGTGAGGCAGGTGCATGCCCAAACCCCACATCCCTGATGATAATGGGATTTACTCTAGGGCCTTGCCACAGGGCCTATTTCCAGGGATTTATATGCTGGAAGCAACATCCTGACCTCACATTGACCCCAGGCCATCTAGTGGGGGGATGTGGCAGGCTCAGAACCAGAGTCTACAGGTCTGGACTGGGTCTAACAGTTTCTGAGGGACGTTTGGCTCTCTCCCCTTTATTCCCCAGGTGTCACGCCCAGCCTGGGCATGGGCATCCAGACCTGGAACACTTTCCCCAAGGCCCCTGGAACTTGCTTCTCCATAGAAGCTTCTAGAACCTTCCCAGAGCCAGGGTTGATGCTCAGAAGAACCAGGTTAAACTGGGTGAGGTGGCAACTGCCTGTGATCCTAGCCCCTTGGAGGGTGAAGCAGGATTGTCTTAAGTGGGAGGTCAGCTACAGAATTCGATCTCAAACTGGGAGGCAGCTTTCTCCTAGCATGCCACAAAGCCCTGGATCACAGCAGCACAGAAGCCCAGGCACATCCCTGTCACCCTCCAATACATAGTGAGTTCAAGACAAGCATGGGCTTCAGGAGACCCTGTGCCAGTGCCACCCCCATTTAATTTAAAGAAAAAGTGGGGGCAGCTCACTGGATAAAAGTCACAGCCACCAAAACCTGACACACCCAATTCAATCAATTCAATCCCTGGGATCCACATGGTAAAAGGAGAGAACTGACTCCCACAAGTCAGTTCTCCCTCTGAAGAACACATGGGCACTGTGTTGCCCACACACACAATGCATAAATGTAATAAGAATTGAAATAATAATTTTTAGCTGTCTGGGCACAGCTTGGACAAAGTTCTGTCTATCAACTGGAAGGGTAGAAGATCTTCCCATATACCATCAGAAACCTGCCCCCCCCCCCCAACAACCTCCTCACATCTTAGGGAAATGAGGCCCAGAAGCCTAAAGTGGTCCCTAGGTACCCTGCAGTCCTAGGGGACTCTAGGGAAGAATTCTGCTAAGAACTTGGCTCCCCTAGGTCCCTGTGGACTGCATGCTACAGGCAAACTGGTGCCCTAGGGCCCTGACATCCCACAGCCCTGCCTCCCTCCATGCCTTCAGTGACTCCACCTACCTCTCCTGCCTGGGCGGGGAGAACCAGTTCCTAGTCACCAACCAATAAAGTCTAATCCGGATGTTAGGCGTACCAGCCAAGTCACAGGACAGACACACTAGGGAGCCAAGTCAGAGCTAACAGAGAGAGATGTGCAGCCCCTGGACAGAGACAGGGGGTCTCTGCCTGCTTCTCTGCAGGAAGATTATATATATTTTCCATCAGCCTTCCTGAGGCACAACAATGGATGGCTTTTCCTCACCCAGGCTTGGGGTGGGATCTTCCTTTTCTGGTTGTTGTTAAATCAATACAGCTGGGCCTAGTGGTGCACACCTGTCACCTCAGGAAAGTGAGTCAAGAGGATGCTAAGTTCAAGGCTACTGAACAACTCAATGAAATCCTGTCTCAGGACAAAAAGTAAAATGTGAGCTGAGGGCATGCCTGGTTCATCAGTAGAACTAGTCTGGGGTCCACCCTGGGAAGACCAAAATCAACCAACCAACCAACCAACCAATCAGTCTGTCTGTCATCAT